GCTGCGCGCCCGTGCGCCCTGCTGGGTTGGGGACAGCCGCTGGTTGCCGGCGAACCGAGCTGACGGATTACAGCGGAAAAGCAAAGGTGAGGTGTGTTGGAGTGCGTGCGTGTGTGTGCGTGTGTGCCAGTGAGAGAGAGAGACAGAGAGAGAGGGAGAGAGAGACGCACTTGGGCACCTGGATGAATCTGCATGGTGGTGCGCGCCCTGGTGTGCCTGAGTGTATGTCCCGGTGCGTGTTTCTCCACCTTTGTGCTCTGGGGGTGGGGGGAGGTAATTTTAGTGGGAATTAACGACAGCCTGTGTCCCGGCGTGAGCAGCGCACAGTGGGTCATGTGTGCTGGAACGGACGTGTCCGCACAGCTGCATGCTAATGTGGGAGGCATGCGCCCTTGTCCAGTCCTCGTCTCCCAGCCGAGTGTCCCGGTGGGAGCTGTGAAGGGGACAACTTCTCTCCCAGCCGCTTGCAAAAGAGCCCCGAAGCGAGGGGGGCGAGGCCGGCGGGGAGACACCGAGGGGGTTCCTGCGGACGCGCACCCCCGAGCCGAGCGTGTGAGCGGCAGGCGGCGGAGCAGAGGAGAGAGGGATTTCTTTCTCCCTTGTTCTTCCTCGTCCCGCCTCGGAGACGGATCCAGAGCGGTATAAGGTCCGCTCTCCCAGCGCTGGGGCGGAGTGGACAGTTTGCCTAGGTTTCAAGAGACCAAGTCTCTGTGTGGCCCCGCGCCCCGGAGCCGCCGGCCAAATCCCTAAGCAGCTATCGCCCGCTCCGAGCTGTCCCAGATCTGCAGGTCCTGCTCTGCGTTTAGAGATGCGGGTGCTGCCTGGACAATCTTTAATCTCCCCCTCGTCCTCCTAGAAATAGCAGGGAATCCTTTAGGAAACGCTTGGGTCTGATGGTCAGCGAGTTGGATGAAGAAGAGAATTTTTCTGCGCCAGCCTGGGGAACCACCTGGTTGGTCTGGAGTCTCAGCTCCCTCCCATGCCCTTCGGCCAGCATTGCCTCGGCTTTTCCTAGGCGCTCTAGCGCCGCGGTGGCCCGCACCTGACTGTTGTCTCTCCCCACCGGTGGGGCTCCCGCTCCAGCGGCCCAGAGACCCACTCAGGTTTAGGAGGCCCTAGGGAAGTTGGGGTTTGGGCTGAATAGGGGGAAGATGCTGGAGAGAAGGGAAAAAACTGGTGCTGAATAGGATTTAGGACCACCCTTGATGTGCCGTCCCCATCCCAAAGCTCAATTCTTAGGCTGGGAACCACAGCCCCTCTGAGAGGGGAGGGATGCCGGACTATTCTCAGGGTCCCTGCCAACAGAGCCGCACTCAGTCTCAGAGGAAACCAACAAGCAGGCAATTCCAGAATCTAACAATTCTTAGCCTGGAAAAATAAAGCAGAAAACCAAACTTCCTGGTGCATTTAATTTAACCACAATTCAGCAAGCAATGTGCCTGGCATTGGACTCCACTTTCAATGAGACACAAATGAAACAGAGGTCACTCAGAGATCTTAAGCAGCTGACTTCACTGTTGATGAAATGATTCACTGTGATTCAAACTCATTTCTTCCTTGGAGGAGGCTTTTCACTCTGGACTGACCGCCCAGCTTACCATCTCTGCTTTCACCAAGCTCTGAACTCTGTCTGTTGCTGCCTCTCTCAACAGTGGAGAATGCTGCTTCTCAGCCTATTTCGGAGAAAAAAAAATGACCCTACACAATTCCATCCCTTTAAGTGAGACTCCAGCCAAATAGTCAGAGTCAGGGCTGGAGATCAGCATTCAATCCTCCCTCACCCACCTGCATCATGATCTCTATCCCAAAAGCTCTAGACAGGACTTCTTCAGCCCAGGGATCTTCAGTCTTACCCAGACATTGGAGTGTGACCTTGCATGTCACATAGATGGGCAATGCTGGTGATTAATGTGCTCTCCAATACAGGCAGCTTAAATAGGATTCTGGGTCGGAAGAATTAAAGTAACTAACAAAACAGTTGGAAATGATATTGGAAACCACCCAAGTTAATACAGGGATACCACAAATGGTTTCTTGAAAGCTTCTGTTTTGAACAGCTGCCAGTTTATGCTTTTTACCCAACGCAGACATTGAATCCTGGGTCCCCAAAGTACTTTGCAGAAAGGTCAGTTACAAAGCCCAGACCGCACTTTACGGACAGTCGTGTAGTGGTGAAATCGGCACAGAGAGGCTAAGCAGTGCGCCCGGCGGTGCGGAATGAATCAAGAGGCAAAGGTGGGCCAGGATCCTGAAGCACCTGTTGCTGCTGAGTCCTTGTAAGCCATCAACAGTCTCTCCAAGCATAAAGGAGCGATCTCCAGTCCTCACTCAGGCCCCAGGAAAAGCGCCCTGCCCAGGGGAAATGTGTCTGCCAAGTGAATTACTCCCACCATGTGCTGAACACATCACCCCTTTTCCATCTTCCATCTTCCCTCTTCCCAGAATGACCTCTTCCCTGCCCTCCTCCCTTCACTCTTTATACATTCAAGACTCAACTCCTCATGTGAAGCCTGCCCTGCATCCCCCAGGAGAGGAAGGCATTCTTAAGTCCTTTGTTCATGTCTCCCTGCAATTCACGTCCTATAAGAGCTGGCTTCCTTCCTGTCTCGCCTCCTAAGTTGTCACCTCATCTCTGGCTCATTCCTGTGAACAAAGAAGTTCCCCAGGGATATTTTTAAAATAAATCATTTAATGATGTGCTGAGCTATTGTTTTATATCTTAGGCCAAGCCAGTGGTGTTAACACTTATTTTCTTGGCATGGAGGTAACACAGGAGTCGGCTGCTTCAAACCAAAGCCCAATTATCAGCCACCAGTTTTCCAATCCACCAAGCAGCAGGCGTGATGCTGGGAAAAGTGCAGAAGACTTGGATGTCCTGTGTTCAAATCCCAGCTCCACCAGTTATGTGCAAGGGAATGGAAGCAAGTTCCTTAAACTCTCTAAGCCTCAGTTTCCTCATCTATAAAATGGGGATAATTACCCCATCTCATAGGATGGCTGGGAAGACCAAGGGGATAGTGGGTGTGAACAAGCTGCATCAGTGTTTGGAATTCACTTCTGTGAATGAGCCTGCCTCCCTCACACCTGGCTCCTGTTTTTGTCCTTCATCAGGAGATCGAGGGCAAATTCTCTGGGGTGTGAGAACATGAATATCTTGCTGAGGGACTTGGGAAAGGACTCTCTGAGGCATCAGGAAGTCAAGCCTTGGGTACTGGAGAAATGCAAACAGAAGAAACAAAAATCAACTAAAGCATACATTTAAAAAATAAAAGCAAACCAGATTTTTATCTGTAACATTTAAGACTATACATTGGTTCACTATGTAGGCAGATTTTGATAAGTTAGAGATAAATAAGATGGTAGATGAAAAAGGGGGAAAAGATAACATTTTTTAAAGTTCTGATTGTGAGCCCAGCACAATGCTAGGCATTTTCACACACACTTCATCACTGAACCCTCTTGACGCCCCCATTTTAACAAATCAGAGTCAGAGCGATTAAGTGCCAGGCACAGGTCATGTGGGCTCCACGGTGGAACCCTAGGTTTTTTCACCTCTAAAGTCTGGGATTTTTCCACTATGAGGTTTTCAGAATGGAAAGATTCCAACGCCATCAGCAAGACAGCATAGATTTCCTCCCAGGGAAAGGCCAAGAATGCCGGTGTCAAGCTCCTCTGAGGTCAAGGGCTGGACCTCTCCAAACTCTGCCTTTTTACAGTTTGGATCAGTCAACTTCTTAGGGATCAAAGTACGCTGTTTTGCAGCCACAGCCTTCTCCCACATGTGCGTCACCAAAGACGACAAGATAAACTGTGATGACTTACCCTTCCCTGCTATTGGAAAAACAACTCAAAAAGTCTGCACAGTGATGAGAATGGGCTGGGAGTTCTAACACTGATGTAAGACAACACACTTTTCGACTGAAGAGTGTCTGAGAGGGCAAACCAGAAACACGGAACGTTGGTGAGAGGTTAAGTAGCCTCTGACTGATGAGCCAATCTTCCTTTTTTCCTTACAGATGTCACAGTGGATCTTTTGCCTCCAAGACCCGTTAAGGTGAGAACAAGATCTTCAGCTGGTTGGAACGAGCCTCAGATTGTAAGGCAGCTGTGGACATGGCGTATGAACTACTCAATGGGAGCCAGCCATGGCCTCCCTCTCCATTCGACCTCAATGGCTCCGTGGCGGCAGCCAACATTTCAAATCAGACAGAGCCATACTATGACCTGACCAGCAATGCAGTCCTCACATTCATCTACTTTGTGGTCTGTATCATTGGGCTGTGTGGCAACACGTTGGTCATTTATGTCATCCTCCGCTACGCCAAGATGAAGACCATCACCAACATTTACATCCTCAACCTGGCCATCGCGGATGAGCTCTTCATGCTGGGGCTGCCCTTCCTGGCCATGCAGGTGGCCCTGGTCCACTGGCCCTTTGGCAAGGCCATTTGCCGGGTGGTCATGACTGTGGATGGCATCAATCAGTTCACCAGCATTTTCTGCTTGACCGTCATGAGCATTGACCGATACCTGGCTGTGGTCCACCCCATCAAGTCGGCCAAATGGAGGAGACCCCGGACGGCCAAGATGATCAGCGTGGCTGTGTGGGGAGTCTCTCTGCTGGTCATCCTGCCTATCATGATATATGCTGGGCTTCGGAGCAACCAGTGGGGGAGAAGCAGCTGCACCATCAACTGGCCAGGTGAATCTGGGGCATGGTACACAGGCTTCATCATCTACACCTTCATCTTGGGGTTCCTGGTGCCCCTCACCATCATCTGTCTTTGTTACCTGTTCATTATCATCAAGGTGAAGTCCTCTGGAATCCGTGTGGGTTCCTCCAAGAGAAAAAAGTCTGAGAAGAAGGTCACCCGGATGGTGTCCATCGTGGTGGCTGTCTTCATTTTCTGCTGGCTCCCCTTCTACATCTTCAATGTCTCTTCTGTCTCTGTGGCCATCAGTCCCACCCCAGTCCTTAAAGGCATGTTTGACTTTGTGGTGGTCCTCACCTATGCTAACAGCTGTGCAAACCCCATCCTGTATGCCTTCTTGTCTGACAACTTCAAGAAGAGCTTCCAGAATGTCCTCTGCTTGGTCAAGGTGAGCGGCACAGATGATGGGGAACGGAGTGACAGTAAGCAGGACAAATCCCGGCTGAATGAGACCACGGAGACCCAGAGGACCCTCCTCAATGGAGACCTCCAGACCAGTATCTGAACTGCCCGAAAAAAGTCAATCAATAAAACGCCAAGCTCTGCTGACTGGCAGTGTGCTTCCCACCGCGCCCCGTCCCTTCCTCCCACCCATCACACCTGGCTTCTAAAATAGGGAATTGCTCAGCATGAGCCCAATTCAGAGAACAGTGTTTGACTCAGGCTTGTCTGAGTGAATGATAATGCATTAAATTGATTACCTCCCCCCTTAAAGTGAACATTTCAATGCAGGCAGACAATTCAGCGTCTGGAGAAGAGATCATGCCTGGGTGTGATCTTTAGAAATGTTGAAGCTCAACAGAAATAGAAAACTCTGTGCTTGCGTGTTTAAAACTCAATGCGTAATCTTGTGGTCGTACATTTATACTTGTATATTTCGATGTCATCCCTGTACAGTCATTCCCTGCGTTTCCTGAGTTCAAGTACACAAGTAGCAAGTTCAAATGTGCTTAGTATAGTTGGACATTTATTTCAATATGGTACCTGCGGAAATGGACTTACCATGAAGCCAATGAAGTTTAAGCTTCAGGGATCTCTCTTGCTTGGGCAGTATGTTTACATGGCCATATGTTTTTGTAAAAAAAAAAAATTGTACAAGTAAGGTATTTTTGTATTCTCTTTCTTAAAGAGATCTCCTTAAACTGTATAAGTTTCCAGCCTCACAAAACCTTTCTCTGCCCCTGGGTATTTGCTTCACCAATTTCAGGCAAGTCAGGTCAAAGGAAGAATGGAGGGAGAGAAGATATTTGAGGACCCAGAACATAAATTTACGCGTCTTCTCTTCTTAGATATAATCAAAGAATTATTCATCTGCCCAAAAGGACTTAAAATGGTCCTGATCATCTATCATTGCATTTATCAAGACAAGGTCTGCTTTGTTATAAGATTGCACATTTTTCTTCTCAAATTGCTTAAACTTTTCTTAGGAAGCCATAGAGGGGGTGTGGGGTCGGGTAGGAACCACAAACATGAAAAGGAGAAAATGGACTGTAATTCTTGTGGGAAACAACAGTATTCTCCCCACTGTGAAAATAAATGAGTAAGAATGAAGGAAAATTACACCTTTATGAGAAACCATGAAATTGCTTTTTAAAATGGCAGACATGACTTCCTAGCGAAGGAAAATGGAATTCAACCACCCCTTAAAGGGTTTTTTTTTAAGAAGTTGATACAAAGCTGGACACTAAGGAAGTCACAGTGCGTGCTAGAGACTTGAGGTCATTGTTCCAAAGATGTAAGCACACACACCAGCTGATGACTAGGTCGCCTGCAGGGGATGTGCAGATGTGAGAGTTGGAGGGGACCCCGTCCCTCATAGGTATGGTCGTGCCCCCTTCCTCACCCTCATCATGGACATTAAACATGGACCTTTAATCCACGGACTCCCTGAGCTATTCCTCAAGCACTGTCGTAGACAGGCACTCCACACCATCAGGGACATTTTTCTGTTCCTGAAATTGCAGCTGGGCTTGTAAACCAGCAATAGGCAGAGAGATGGTGCCCAGTTCATTGGCTGATCAGTTTCCAGGGAGTGAAGACATATACACTTGGGTGTTCGTCAGGACACCATCATCTCTAGGTTTATATGAAAGCCTCACTCTTAGTGTCTCACACATACATTTTACCATATTTAAAAATAAGCTAGCCCCTTCCGGCTCCCTAAGCAAGGGCTGTCTGACAGCAGGAATGACTAAGAACTCCACCTGTGGTGGTTGTTAATGTGCTGCCTTTATTCTGTCTGTCTGTGAATTTATGCCACCTCATTCCCAAAAGTACTTACTGTGGCCCAGAAAATATGTTCAGTAAGATTTATGGTAGATAAATAAGTCCATGCAAAAATAAAGAGAGGGACAACTGTAAGATGAGACAGTGGGAAAGACTGTTACCCAAAAATGCATGCACTAAAATCCCACATGTTTACTGAAGGAAAGGTCAGCTGCAAGCTCAGCTCAGGACGTCCTAGCAGCCACAATTAAGGGAGACTGACTCCTCCTCCACTTCCTCCTCCTTCTTCTCTGCGTCCTCCTTCCTCTTCATAAAAACAAGCAAAGAAAGATTTGCAATGAAATGCTTTAAACCCGACTTTACCATTATTATAATACGAGATGTTCCTGGTCTTTGCACAAACGCTGACCTTTACTTAGAGAAGTGAGTGATTCCAAGGGACCAAGAACTGGTAGGAATAATTTCAAGGCAGGTAGACTAATTTATAGCACTCATGCCCCCTGATCAGAGAAACTGATGGCCTGCAAGAAGGCCAGAGTCCAAAGCAGCCAGCTAAAGTCTTAAAACGAAAGGCATACCCAGGTAGATGCTGGATACTTCTCAGCAGGAAGATCATTCTAGGGCTGTAAGACAGGACCTTTAAGATTGATGCTATAATTCTGCCCAAAGAAGCAGTCGGCTTTCTACCATATGAAGATGGAGTCTCCACTTTGCGAAACACACATCTCTTTCAAGGATAATTTGCTCTCCAGTTGTTTCCTTTGATCCAAAGAGGGAATAAACATTTTAATTTAAACATTAACATAACTTTAATTCCAAAATTTAATCTTAGCCTCCACTCAACATGTAATTATGAAGACAGATCGACTGGGTGCTGAGAAAGAATAAAAAGTAATGATTTTTGCCTAGGTTCCATCCCCAGTACTCCCACTAAAAAAAATTTTTTTTAAAGTAACGATTTTAGAATATCTGATCGTTTAGATTATGCAAGCTACTACTTACCTTCCATTAGCATGGGTAGTTAAGAGCTGATTAAACCTAAGAGTGGATTTAGTGAGAAAGATATCGGAAGAGAGACTATGACACTGGGGCCTGTGCTGAGTGACGCTAGCTTGCATCTCCGTAACGGAGAGCTGAGTAACACTGGACGTGGAGTCGAAACTTTGGTGAGGTTCACGCCACAGCTTGAGACAGTCAAGGAAGATACAAGGAGAAGGCTACTGGATGGTGGAAGGATTACTGCACTTCTTTCTCTTGCTTGTTTTTATAAACAAGAGGAAGAAAAAGGAGGAGGCGGGAAAGGAAGAGGGGTGGGAGTCACACTCCATCAGTCGCAGCCGCTGGGAAGCCCTTAGCTGAACGTGTCGCTGAGCTTTAGTAACACTGTGCAACTCTGTCGCGTGCGTTGATGTGTAACAGCCCCTGCCGTCTCATCTTATCATTGTACCTCTTTCTGTTTCTCTGCATAAATTTATTTATCTATCACAAATGGCACACAGAGAAGAAAACGCAGGTCAGTGATTGGGGCTTCCAGAGCTGGCAGTTTACTGGAGTCCATGGGCTTCCACAAATCCAGCCTGTTCTCCATGACAGAATACAAGGATTGAAGCTTTCGGCCCCAGCTGCCCTAAAGACAAGCACCGGGCTGGAAACGTGGACAGCCTGGTCACGGAAAGAGGCAGCCAGTAGGTGGCTGTCAAGATAGATGTTCCTGACCAGCTCCGGACGTGTCTGTTCAGTCAAGACAGTCGGGTTACAATGAAAGACAGAAATGAACTCTGGCCTTGTTGAAGAAGGGTGATGACAGAACCACCCAAAGTTTCCATACATGGTTGGGAAGGTGCAGCGAGTGTTTCAGTAACGTGTATCACCACCAAAATCACAACAGCTGGCAAACCAAGCGTTTGAGCTTATAAGTAATAACTTAGAATCTGCCATTTGTTTAATCTGTATTTTTGCGATTCAAAAACACTCAAATTTCCCATCGAATGTTCTAGCAAAGCAAACCTTCACCTAAGTGGCTGTTTTGCTTCTAATATGTGAGTTTCTGGGAATATTCCCATAGGCAGAGCCTCTTTTTTTTTTTTTTTTTTTTTTTAGCAGCTCATCTGCAAAGTAGACACCAGGGGCTGTATTCTACCTACAGCTGAAAAGCTTCTGTGGTTGTACTACCCAAGCTAGGTCGAAGAACAACAGCTCAAGGACGAGCTTTCGCACCTCCCACATCCTCCACCAATTTCAGTGACTGCCCACCCTCGCCTTTAACTCAGCAGTGACCGAACACAGGCCGGGCATCTTGTGTTCTCCTTTAGACATGTCCGGTTGCAGGGATCCAGATGAGGCTGAAAACCAGAGCTAAATATTAAACAAGACTTATCCAAGCTAAATATAAAACATGACTGATTCTCCTAAGATTAAAAGTGAGTATGATTATCAATTAAATGAGACACTGCGGCTTCATCACTGGGCTCCGTGAACGCCTGCTCCCACAAGACAAAGATTTTCAGCAGGAGAGAGAGAGCTAATGACACAGAGATTCAACTTCAGGTGGGCAGAGAGGGAGTTTACGTGGAGAAGGAGAAGCTTTATTTTTCCATCTTTCTCTCCTTTCCTGGCATCACTGAAGGACCAGATTCGGGGGAGAAAAGACCTCTTTGCCAGGACATTGGTGTCTGGTCTGTGATAAGGAGCACTGGAAGCAGAAAAGGAAGGTACTGGTCAGAGATGAAATACCCCATCCTTTTGGAAAAGCCAGTTGAGGAATCTGACGCAAGGCCCACTTAAAAAGAAATCTGAGGGGAGGGTATAGCTCAGGGGTAGAGTGCAGTGCTTAGCGTGCACGAGGTCTTGGGTTCAATCCCCAGTACCTCCATTAAAATAATAATAAATAAATAAACCGAATTACCTACCCCCCCAAAAAAGAAATTTAAAAAAATCTGAAAGGGGCTTCCCATAGCTTTACCCACCGCAGTTATTCAGTGACTGGGACCTCCAATTGCTTGAGCAACAGAGAAAGCCCCTTTGCAGTGGCAGCCCCTGAAGAGAGGAGGGGCGTGCTGGGATCTACCAAATAAGACGGCTGTAGCCTGGGCACAGAAGGAGACACAGTGGGCCCACGTCCTTCCAGAGAACAGATTACAAAGTAACCAGTACAAGGCAGGGGGGGCCTGAGAGAAGACTGCTAGTCTCAAAAAGAGTAAGATCCACCATCAGCTCTACAGGACCACCTGTAGATTCACCAGGTACCAAAAAGGAGCACTGATGCCTTCCTGGACAGGGTCCCTCCACCCCCAGACCTGGCACATGGCTGGGTATCAGTTCTTGTGAGGCTCCCTGTCCCCAGGCCAGGGACTATGGTCATTCCTGGCAGAGCTGATATTTTTTTCTTATGGGTATTATTTTTTAACAAGAACCCCAAATGGTTCCCACATAACAAAACCCAGGCTTAGCTGTTTTCCTAACGTAAACCAGCATCCCACTTCTCTGGAGAAATGGATGGTCTTCCAAGGCTCTCAAGTGCAGTTTAACCTGCCCCTTCACTACATCATGTGCACTCAGAC